CGTGTAACATCTGGATTGCACGCAGTGGCGGACCTAAGATTATGGTTCAGCGGGAACGAGATAGAATTACGCATTAACTAACCAAAAATTCTTAGTCAGAGCATAGATTCTTCTCCTCGAAAGTCGCAACATTTAAACCTCAATTTCACTACTATTCAAACTACTGTAACACGCATAAGGCAACACATCGAAATTTTGCTTCAGGCTTGATGTTTCTAATGTGATTTTGGGATGTGATGAAATTATATAAGCATATATAGCTATCAAAACATAACCAATAAAATTAAGAAAGAGAGATGGACTATGTTGATATCCGACATGCGACTTCATTAAATACAATTTGTTATATGCATTAACCTCATACTAATTTAAGGTCAGTATTTGAGGTCAGCTTGTACTAGTGATCGTTGTTATTAAGGTGACATAATGATTGAAGATTCTTTACACATTGTCAAACGTCTAGTCAATCAATTACATTTGAATAAGCTCACATCAGCACCTACTAATTCTATCAATCATATGTTATAGCTTCATTCTCTAAGTAGTTCATTAATTGTTGGGGACCACATGTAAGGTTAACTCATGATGACCTACAAGCCGAGCTCACTAACCAATCCGAACATATCAATGATGTACTTTCTCAACTTGGTACTGTAGTTGATAAGACAATAAAATGAAGAATGCAAGTGGACCTTTTCCTATAAAAGGAAGGATGAGAGTCTTGACAAAAAAGAAGAAGAAGGAGAAGAAAAATAGTTCAAAAAACACTTCATGTTTCAAATATCTCTTTGAAGGAAAAAGAACAAACATTTGTAGTTACAATTGTAATTTGCAAATCACTATCAATAAAATTCTCATTTGCGTTTTAAGTTGGTTTGAATCTTGTTTATACAATTTTCAACATCAACATATTACAAAATTTTGCTTCTTCAATCTGTTCTTCTTTTTTCAAAATATGGTGATTGAAATTTGGAATCGCCTGGGTTCTCAAAATCGCGGGGGTTTGAGAACTGGGGAAAGGGAAGTACGATTAAGTGGGAAATTGGAATTATGTGGGCATTTTTTTTCATGTCAAAGACTTAACATTGTTGGGTTTGGGTTAAAAATTATTGGCTACTATTATATGGGTTTTTTTCTATTTCAATCCGCCCTGATTGCACGTCGTGTTAATTTCTACCATGGAAGACTCAAAATATGCTAGTTTCAAAAGTTCAGTATTCTATAAGAATAATGCTATCTATCTAGCTGATGATCAAAAGTCTAGATCATTAATTGCAGAGTATTCCAAAGAAGATGTTTGCACGAGTAACTAGCATAGTAACAACTAATATTCATAATATATCACCTTATATATATGAATATGAGTTCCATTTGAAATTATATATAAATGAAAGTCAATAACATGTCATACAGTCTTGTTATCATCATTAGTCAAAATAAATAGTGTTGGCCACGTGTCCGAGCCATTTTTCGGATAGGTCTTCAAGTCAGCTCCTCCTGCAAGCGAAGCACGCCGTCAGTCACTCGTGGCCTCTCCCGTAGGG